ACAATAGGTTTTTCTATTCATCAAAATATCAAGCACCATAGTATATACTATGTCAAGCACCATAGTATACAAACTTTCATGATCGTAGAATCTAAAGCATAACCATCTTGACGATTTGGGTGGGCTTATTTTAAGTGTATCAACCGATAGCTGGTAATTACACCAGGATAGAATTTACATAATAATAAGCAATTTTTGGATGAGGTTCAGCATAATATCAAGAATTATTCAGACCAATGTCATTGTTATCTGCCTTACGTAAATAAAAGCACAAATAGATTATGACAAGTGTTGATTTGCTAAGACGCAAAACAAAATTTTAACAAGGAGCCTGCATTTTTCTCCCTATTTTGAAATAAGTAGGTGTAAGAAACACAGTAGTTTTCCTAAGCAAGTTTCCTTAACCAAAACTTTCCACTCGTCATGCATCATATGTAGAAACGGATGTTTATAGCAACGTCAACAAATTTAAATAAAACAGTTTAGTTTTTTTTAATGTGACTATAGATATCAAAGCGTTGTGGATTGAAATTTGTTAATAAAGGCAGCTGAAAAATATTATCATTCGTCCATTTTTCGATTATGCTCGAATTAAGCCAATTTTATGTTCTGTACTAATGTACTTGAATGTGATAACAATCTTGGCGAGGCGGGAGGGAGGTAGGAGTTGTACATGAAAACTGTTATTAAGTGTTTACGTAGCGATAATTCATAATGTCAGGATTTGCCAAGTTCTAATAAAAAAACATAATATTTTTCATGCAACTCATAGTTTGCGTGATTTAGTAATAATCGATGCTCTGACGTAAGCTTATCTCCGAAAGTGGAACGTTTTGCCTTTGTGATTCAATTCGTAATTTTTATTCAGTAAAATAAGTTTCATTGCCATAAATTTGGCAGAAGAGCAAAATCATGATGTATATGCATGCAAAACATAATTGAAGTGAAGGATAGATAAAGAACAGCTAAAATTTTTTTAATATTTCATCTCTGAGTCTTTTTTTATATACTCCAACATACTTGCACTGTTTATCAACGCTACTGCACGTACCCAGAGTTTGCTTTATTAATGGCAATGCTCATGAAATGTTTAGTTAAGAATGCATTCAAGGATACCATTTTACATTACAATCCAAACAATAAGTAACTGTACATACTATACGTCCTAAGAGAAGAAGTGGCCATTGCAATATGGTGAGAGCCAGGTGGGCACATTTATTTTGTTATACTCGGTATATAATAATATCATAAAGCTAGCTATAATATAAAAAACATAATGTACTACAAATAAATATAATGTACTACAAATATAAATATTCTTCGTATATTCATACATACAGAAAAAAAAGCAAATAAAAGCAATGTAAACAATGCGGTAAACTTTATATGTTAGGCAATCATATTTTCAAAGATCATATGCAAATTATAAGTATATCTGTAAGTTAAGAATTTTCCCAAATTTCTCTGCCAATACAAAGAACTTCCTAAACGCTGATTATCATTGGCAGATGTTCATAGCAAACTGTATAAGTGGCTTGTTAATGAAAGAACCGACTTATAAAAAGTTCCGCTGACTTAAAATTCATTTTAAATGTGCTTTAAATAACTTCATCATGATGTATTTAACTTAATTAATACAAAACAAAGAATCTCTTTGAAATTGTAAAAACGCCCTCTACATATAATACAAAAACTGTCTTCTTTAATTCGAAAAGCGTGCTTCGTTCATTGTATAGACAATTTAGCATGTACATTTATAGCTCTAAATTTATTTTTCTACAGGCAATGAATTCTTTCCAGCAAAAATCAAAAAAGTCACATGCATTTTTTTGAGTGCGTTGATTAACTTCCTCTCATAAGTTGATTTCTTGTGATACAAAAACAACGCCGAGTAATTGGAAAATTACTTTAATTTCCACTGAAGGAAGTTCAAAAAGTTTTATTCAATCAATACCATTTCTTTGCACGTGGATTTTGTAAGAAAATAATTAAAGCAAAAGAATTTCAAAAACGCCTTTAATGGTTCTCAAAACATTCTACGTGCTGTATAAATACTGCCACAGCAACAACTATTCATTCATTACAGGACATCTAGTTGGGAAAGCACTCAGCAAATTTTGTGAATTAACTACAGTTTAACGAAAGTTTGATAAAAAGGTAATACCAATATTTCTTTCTTTTATTTAATAGCTACTACTACTGCTTAAAGAAATTTATTATTTTACATGAATTTATAGTTTGTATTGTGCACACATCAAAACAGGATTGAGATAAATTTGGTTTTATTATCAAATTCTTCTGAATTTTAGCTCAATAAAGTGCATGCTCTTTTAAAGTTGTTTTAAAGTTACTTGTAAAACCATCAATGAGTTTTTAATCAAATCCGTTTGCTAAAAGACTGTAACTCCGTATAAATATGTTGATATTTGACCAATTTTAAAGTGGATAAACAGAAGCAGTTATCAATAACATTCTCATTTACAGAAGATTACTTAACTTCAAGCAAAGTCTGCTAAAAATACAATGATGACCAACAAGATCCTTGTACTTATTGCTTTTACGCTAACAATCTGCACACATGTCACCCATGGCATTTGCTGCAGCAAAATAGAAGAGCTATTAAAGAAAAAGAAGAATGCTTTTGAAGTTCTTTGCGCAACTGGACACAATCTCCCTCGTGGCTGCTGTGATGACATCAAAAAAGAAGTGACATCATATGAAAATGCATACAAATCATTGTGTGTTAATGTAACAGGTAAGATACTATAAACTAAAGTTCGATTGAGAAATTGAGCTACGGTAAATTGTGTGGTGTTGAAAAGGATATCAAAATTCTTCTTGTTATTTTATTTCCTGATAGGTATTTTGCAGGATTCGAGTATTGTAAAAGGTAAACCAAAATGGATCTCGCACATTAAGAAATGGCTTTCTTCGAGCTTGAACGGCAAGAAGACCGTGCGCTGTTACAGAGCAACAGTTAATGGATGGGCCTCGACTACATTTCACAAAAACTGTGACTCCAAGGGACCTACATTGGTCTTGGCGAAAAAAGGATCCTATGTGTTTGGGGGATTTGCATCACAATCGTGGGGAGGTAAGCTTTAACTAAGTTTAAGCTATAGTTATTACTAAAGATTCATAATAGTACGATTATGAAATAAAAGACGATACATTTCTTTAATGTCAAAAAATTGTGTGAAAAAATGTCATTTTCCAAGCAAATGTCTCAGATGACAAATAAGAGACCATGAATTGATGCCTAAAGTATCATATACTGTTTGTTTAGGTAATAGTCGTTACATTCGAGCACCAAACTCTTTCTTATTCTCATTAAAAAACAAGGATGGTCTGCCACCATTTAAATCTAGTCCAACCAAATATCCACAATACGCAATGTACACACACAGCAGCTACGGACCCACATTTGGAGGTGGTCACGACCTTTATATCGTCAGCAATGCCAAGTCTAGTTCCAGTTCTTACACAAACTTTGGTCACTCGTACAAACTCCCATCTGGCTATTCTTACGGAAGCACCAAAGCAAAATCGTTGCTGGCTGGCTCCTACAGATTCACTTTAGACGAAGTGGAAGTGTTTTACCTTTCTTCATAAATTATATGAACATAAATGATTTGTTTGTTTAATCTATGAGAAAATTTGCTGTAGCTTTTAGTTAATAAACCTGTCTTTAGTGGAATAATTTGATATTAAATTAACGCAACTTCGGAAAAGCATCTAAGTATTTGTCGTTGATGAATGTTAACCAATGTTTGAATAGTTTATTCTCAATTGAAGTTGAAATCATATTTTTACCGCGGTATATTTTGCTATAATAACATATCAATCATTCTCTTCCTTCTCTAAACTCGAGCGACTATATAGTTATAGCAAAACCTGTTCAATTCACAAGTTTTACCTTGTCTCAATGAAAAATCTTCAAGTATGCCTTCTGTAGCTATATTCCTTATTTGATGGTTTTTTGGTTGCATATAATGACTAGTACTTGCTGCAAGGTGGTGTTTGATTTTTACGGAAGTTTCCAAAGGTAAGCCCGAGTTTCAAATTTGGGTTTACGTGTAATTTCTCTAGATTATGCACAAACAGGTATGCCTGTCAAAAAATGTCCTTGAATCAATAACATCCTTACTTAAATCATTTCACGCGTGAGTGGCACTATAGTGACTTCTGAATTTCTTTGTGCTTTTTTGCCAACAATATTATGATACTCCAATATAACCAAAAACGATTCTCCAGTACCCTGGGAGAACGTCCAATATAGCTAACATGATTGTTTTGTTCAGTTATTTATATGATATTCCGAGCCAACATTTGATTGCAATATTTTATTTTAAGGAAACTTTTAATTTGCCAAAGTAAAATGAGCGGCAAAATTATTGAATTCATCGTTGAATCTGACAATCTATTAAGACTGTTGTCTTAATAAAAAAACCGTTTACAAAAAAATATTTTTCCCTTCAAGCCTCTCAGCTGTTAAAAGCATTTATTTACATATTGTTTTACAAATCAGAAATGGAAGGAACCTAGATTTTCCTGCAGTCTGATTCAGTCTGATTGGTTGTAGCAAAAGCAGAATGTTGTGATATTTGACTGAAATGAGCTCGTCGTCGAAGTTATGCACCGTGTTGGAAAAAAAGTAATTGATCAACTTTCTATGATGTCAAATGAAGTTCAAGACGAAGTCTGTTCCGTATTTTCAAAGCTGGATAATATTGAAACGACTCAAGCATCATTCATTCAGTCTTTACCCATATTCCAAGCACTAGATGGAAGCACCTATCTTTCCTGCATTGACTCTAACGGACAATTTCACCTGGTTGCGCCTCCCAATCTGTTGTTGCCTGAGACTTTTCATTTTATTAATCGAGATAAAATTATATCATCTTCAAAGATGGCGAGTTATAGTCTTTTATTGAAACTTGGCGTGTTATAGTCTTTTATTGAAACTTGGCGTGAAGGTTGAAAGTAATGCAAGTTTACTCATGCATCACTTGGAAACATTTTTGGATTCTGACTCGAGTGATGACTATAAGGATGACGTTGTACTTTGGATTTTACAGAAAATCGAGATGCTGATACAGGAAACACCTGCGTTCCTAAAGTTTATTCGTAGAGTACATTCTATTCCAACGGCAAGCGGACGAAGAATGCCACCAAGCTCACTTTTTGACCATTCTGACAACATTTTGATGATATTTTGGGTTTACTGAGAAAGGGCTCTTCGATTTCTTCGGATCAAGGTCTGGCGCTTGTTGAACTTTTCAATGAGCATTTACTTCTTTTAAAGCAATTGACCGCGGACGGTAGGCAGTTGAAAAATGTTTTAAGTGGGTTACCATGGCTACCTCGCGTACTTGATCGTCCTAATACGTACCCAAACTTTATGCCCTGGTATGATGGTGATACAGTGTGTTGTCCAAGCACAATGTTGCTTGGTTCGTGGTCCCTTTTGGTTGGTGCAACGGTTCCTATTTTTAACGAGCGACTCATTTCAAGTGAAGTTAGAGGTATTGGTGAATTTTTTTATTTCCAGTTGAGTTTTTAAGTATTCTTAGAATAGATGTTAAACAAGATAAACGGTTGTTTTTAGAACGTTCATTAGGGAGTGTTTGTTTTTACATCCAGTAGTGCTTCATTGATATTTTTGAAAGTGAATTTCTTTTCAATAGAAACTAGTCAGGCACAACTGATTATATAAATATACACCTTCCCTCTCTTCCTTAATTAACGTTCTGGGGACGGCTCTGAACAAGAGGGAATATAAACTTCATCAATAAAATGAAGGTTAATTTTTATGAGAAGTATTGTCCTAAAAACATCAGCCTACTTGACATGCGTGTTGTTGTTTTAGTTATTTAAAATCTGTGCATTACTTTATAGATCTCGTGGGTGTTCACACAAAAGTTCAACAAAATTTATGGAATATAATTTTCCAGCAATTAAAAATCGCAGTCCAATCTTGGTCTAATGAGGAAACAACCCCAGTTGAAGTCGCCAACTTTCAAGAAATGATTAAAAGTGAGTATAAATGTTATGACTTCCTAGAAAAATTTGTATTTAGTGCACACCTCTTTTGTACAAAAACCTTTTTTAGCAATGATTATTCTTTATTTATAACCTTATATATTCCATTAGATATTTACTTAGTCATCTCAAAGTTATCCACGGATATGGTGGCGAAGTTCTTGAAAACCCATTCTCTTGTACAGTGGGTATGGCATGGAAATGGCTTTACAGCACCAGAAAATGTTGCATTTGAATCGCCCTTCCCCAAGAATATCGATCTTCATCCTTACCTGTTCTGCCTTCCTAGAGATTTATTTGTTGTGAAAAACTTCTTAGTTTCCCATGGAGCAAAGCTCAGTTTCGACGTTAAGGATTTGTTGAATTGGATGCAAAATATCAAGAAGAGACATGACAGATCAGAAAATGTATCACATGATGAGGTGATGCACGACTTAGATCAATGTCGCACTGTATTGGAATGGATAGCAACGCACAATACTGTATTATCAGAGGATCTACGTAAGGAACTTCTTATTCCAGTTCAGACAAAGCCTGGTAAATTAAGACTTGAACTGTGTCATACATGCACTTACTGTGACCGTGAGTTCTTAAGACGAGGTGTCTCCGAATATCAATTGTCTATTAAATCTCACTTGATTCATAAATCTATCCCCGATGATTTGGCATGTCGTATCAAAGTTCCACGTCTGTCTGAAGAAGAAGAAGCTGGTCAGTACGAACCGCTGACCACACGTTTACGAAATATCCTACAGCAGTATAAAGAAGGTGTCGCCATTTTCAAAGAGCTTATACAAAATGCAGATGATGCTCGAGCGACGAAGGTTTACTTTGTTATCGACTGGCGAAATAATCCTTGTGAGACTTTACTTTCAGATCAACTGTCACCTTGCCAAGGTCCTGCTTTGTATGCTTATAATGATGCCATGTTTTCGGATGAAGATTTTGGCAACATAAATAAACTTGCTGGTGAAACAAAGAAAGAAGATTTGGAGAAAGTCGGTCGTTTTGGTTTAGGCTTTAACTCTGTTTATCATCTTACTGACGTTCCGAGTTTTGTTAGTGGCGAAAATCTTGTTATTTTTGATCCAAATATGACTCATATTTCCGACTTGATTGACAGAAATTCAAGACAAGGTGGATTGATGTTGAGTTTTGCTGACAACAGTCATGTTTTATCTGCATTTCCTGATCAATTCTTACCTTACCATCAATTCTTTGGCTGTGACATGAGCGGTGACAATGCATTTTATTTTCCTGGAACGTTGTTTCGTTTCCCATTTCGCACCCAGTTGCAGGCCCGAACGAGTGGCATTTCAAAAGAACCTTATACCCCAGAGAGCATTAAAAACCTCGTCAAATCATTGACAAAGGCCTCCTCAACGCTTTTACTTTTCTCTCAAAACGTTAAGGAAGTTCGGGTGTTTGAAATACAAAAAAATTCCAATCCAAAGTTATCTTTAACTCATCCATTAATCACAGTTACAAAGACAATTGAGAAAACATTGTTTTCAAATTTGAAGAAAGGTGAATCCATGTTGAAAAGTTCGTCAGATTGGTTTCGTCAAAACAGATTAAGACGAAAACTTCCAAAGGAAGGTCCAAGGTGTACCATGTTCATCAATATTAATGTTTGCTTTGTAAAAGCTGATTTAAACGATGTATCAAACCCATCTCAAATGATAGAAAAATGGCTGGTCAACTCCTGCACTGGCTGTAGATCGTCATTTCACGTTGCACAAAGTGATGAAGGTGTTAGAAACGGTGTAGTTCCAGTCACAGGAGTTGCTACAAAAATAGATCTCTCGAATCGTAGCGATGTTAAGATTCAGTCTGTACCTGGAGAGGTGTATTGCTTTATGCCATTGTCTATAGAGTCTGGTCTTCCAGTTCACGTCAACGGTTTGTTTTCTGTTTATTCCAATCGCCGACGATTGTGGGAGGAAGGTGTTGGTGAACATCAGTTGTTGAAACCTTTTGAAGCAAGATGGAACGAAGCATTGATGGAAGATTCGTTAGTACAAGCTTATTTTGATTTACTACTGATGCTTCAGTCTTACAATGCAAAACAATATGAATTTCATTGCCTATGGCCAAATCCAACGAAAGTGCACCACCCCCGAGCCTGGAGGCCATTTCTTCATTCTTTCTTTAACAGGATAATTGACGAAGAGTTAAAGGTATTCCAATGTAGGGGAAAATGGAGAAAACTTCAAGATTGTCTCATTCTTGATCCAAGACTGAGCAAGCAGAAAGAATGTGTCGCCATCATGAATCAATTTGGTGAAAATGTTTCATCGATTCCTCCAAATTTCATAGAAGCTTTTCAAAGTTGTGGAAAGGGAGAATTTATCAATAATCATTTGTTAACAGAAGATAAATTCTTGAAGGAATATTTTTTCCCTAACGCATCGCGTATTTCAGCAGATTTGAGAAGTTCCGTTCTCGTTCATATTCTTACACGTCGACTGAAAAAACATCGCGATTATGATGATCTTTTGAAAACTGTTCCCTGCTTCAGTTGTTCCAAGGATGGCATGATTCTTCGTACATCGAATGAGCTTGTTCATCCCAAAGGAAAAGCTGCCTGTCTGTTTTATGAACATGATAAACGATTTCCGTTGGACGATCGACTTCTGGAGAAGGAGCTAGCCATGATGTTGGAAGAACTTGGTATGATCGTCGATTTTTTGCCTTGGAGCAGTTTGTGTGAGAGAGCAAAATCAATCTCTCATCAATGTGATACTGTTAGAATAAATCTGATGATTAAGTTTATGAACGATATGCCATCTGATGCCTCCATTTCAGAAGAAGATGTAGAAATCTTATGCGAAACTCCTTTTCTCCCTATTCTATCAAAGCCAAGCGATTATCCGTTCTCGTGGAAATTTGATCATTGCCGTGGAATGCAGTTTGCTGATGCTAATTCTCTTCACTTGGAAATGTATAAGTATCTTGTTGGCACCAAATTTCTTATTTTGGATGAGTCGTCAAAAAGTGTATGCGCGCCAAATCTGTCTTTGAAAAAGATCCTCGGAGTTTCATCAAAAAAGCCAAAAATTTCTGATGTTATTGAGCAACTTGATAGGATAATTATGTCAACGATCCATCTCGCTCATGAACAGAAAGAAAAATTATGTTTTACAATCTATGAGTATTTTGAGAGTGTAGTCATTACTATGAATGGAAGCCAAGATCAAATTCGCGAGCAGTTAAAGTCTAGATCTTGGCTTTTCGTTAATGGACAACTGGTGAATGCTGGACAGGTTGCACAAGACTGGAATAAGTATGATGCTCCTCCTTATTTATTTTCTTTACCTTTTGTTTACAAAACTAAGTTCAAATTTCTTGTCAATTGGTATGGAATAAAGAAGAGTTTTTCCGATGAAGACTTCGTAATGGCCATGAATCGCTTAAGAGAAAATACTGCAAGTAAAAAACTTTCGGACGAAGAAATTGATACTCTCGTTGTGCTTGCTGAAGAACTATATATTTTATCGGGTGGTCAAAGTAATTATGAATTGCCACTGCCAAATGAAGATGGTAAACTACATGATGGCAGTGAACTTGTGATCAATGAGACACCATGGCTGGAGATTGATGGTAGATATAAACGTGTCCATCGCAAGATACGTTCACAACTAGCATACTATTGTGGTGCTAAAGAACAAAGAGAGGCTGATCTGGACCACTTTTCTCAACCAATTGGTCAACCGTTTGGACAACATGAAGATTTAACGGATCGCTTAAAGAACATCTTACGTTCCTATCCTGCAGACGTTGGAATATTGAAAGAACTTCTTCAAAACGCAGACGACGCTAAAGCCAGTGAAATTCATTTTGTTTTTGATCCTCGCAATCACAAGAGTGAACGCGTGTTCTCAGATAAATGGAAAGATCTTCACGGCCCTGCAATATGTGTTTACAATGATAAGCCTTTTACCAAGGATGATATACTGGGTATTCAGAAACTTGGTATTGGAAGCAAAGTAGACGATCCTCTGAAAACTGGTCAATATGGTATTGGATTTAATGCAGTTTATCATTTCACCGATTGTCCGTACTTTATTTCAAACGATGAAGTAATTTGTGTTTCTGACCCACACATATGGTACGTCCCCAATGCAACGCAAGAACATCCTGGAAGACTTTTCAACAATCTCAATGAAACGTTTAGAAAAAATTATGATGATGTTTTTTCCTGTCTTCTGGGTGATCTTTTTGATCTTAAAGGAAGTACGATGTTTCGATTACCATTACGAACAAAAGAGCAATCCAAGATCTCTACTAAACTTTGGAGCACAAGCGCCGTGACAGACTTGTTTGAGAGTTTTCGTCTCTTTGCAAAAGATATGTTGCTGTTCTTGAATAACGTTACGAAGATTTCGATATCGGAATTGAAGAATGGAAAACTCGAAACTTATACAGTGAAGTGTGAAGTATCTGATTTAAGTAAACGATCTCAGTTTCACGAGGCAATCAAGACTTGCAGTACACTACCAACTCGTCAATTGTGTAAAATGCAAAGTTTTCATTACGTAATGAAAATATCTGATTCATTGAATGTAAAGAAGGATTGGTTAATTGCACAGAGTTTGGGCTATTTAGATTTTGATAAAACGTCAACGATTCCTGAGGGCCAAGGAATGGGCTTGCTACCTCGTGCAGGTGTTGCTATCCACTTATCGAACTCTGACGCTCCATTTCGACATTCTATATTTTGTACGTTACCATTGCCAGTTTCGTCAAAATTTCCTGCGCATATCAATGGTCACTTTGCTCTTGACTCTGCTCGTAGAAATGTTTGGTATGACACCAGGAGTGGCGATTTTCGGATGCTTTGGAACAGTTTCATGAAACGTCATGTAATCCCTCCGTTGTATGCATTAGCAATGACACTCGCGAGGAACCATATTGAAGGCTATCATCATGAGTCCGATTGTATGGGAAATTTTTCATCACCGAAAGATGCAGAGAATGGTTTGAAATGGTATCATAAATTATTTCCACCAATTTTAGAGCTTGATGCTGAATGGAAACCAGTTGCTGAAGTGCTTTACAAATATTTGTTACCAAATCACGCCATTTTACCAATTGCTTTGTCAGTTCCAAATTGTAGAGAGTCACCTCGTGACTGTTTGTCAGCAGGATCTTCAGAAGATGACATTGCCCCGGTGAAAGTAAATTGGCATACACCAGCAAAGGCGTATTTTTGTACTTCTGATATATCGTTCACGCTGGCAAAATTACTTTTGCAAATCAGATTTCCTCTTCTTTCACACCCACCTAACGAAGTGCACAAAAGTTTCAAAGAAGTTGGAAAGTTGCAAGACGTAAGTCCTGAAGCTGTGATTGAATTTCTAAGGCATCAAGTTGAAATTGTCAATCAGTTACCCAAGGCTGTGGAACAGACTTTGTTTCGAGAAGAAAAAATTGTTTATGAAATTACACGCTATTGTGCTCAAGCAAGTCAAAATGGAGATGGATATTTTGAAAATCTTCACGGACTTCCTTTGCTTCTCACGAAAGATGGCTTCCTTCGTTGTTTTGATCAAAATATGCCGGTGTTTTGCAGCAAGTTCAGCGACCTCGTATCTTTTCAGTCCAATCTGTTTGTGACCAGTTTACTGGAAAGCTTTTACTCAACTTATCTAAACAAATGTCTTGACGTGTTGCGTGAGTTTCATTTGTCAGACCTTGCTCAATATCGTGAAAGGCTTTATCCGTCTTCTTGGATCCATTCTATCGTGCATCAGCCATGGAAACCAGATGAAAGCAACAACGAACATCCTAAAAAAAAATGGCTGGTGTTGCTTTGGAAATTTATTGTTAACGAAGTCAAAGATAACAGGGTTTCGAATAAAGTAAATTGTCATATTCTTGAATGCATAAGAAATTGGCACATCATTCCAACGACAAATGGTTGTCTTGCTCCTCTTTCCCAAGGAAAAACCGTTTTGAATGTAACCAGTGAGTTCAGTCCTGATTCATTCTCAGACAGCGTCATACGAAGTATTTTAGTAAAGCTGGGTTGTCCACAGTTCGATAAATCCATAATTGATTCACTGTTTACAACGCGAGAAAAACGAATCGTTGCTGTTTGCCGACATTATCTGGCTCTAGTTCAATCGACAAAAGATGTACTTGGAGTATTGTCTACATATGTTAATAAAAGCAATAGAATCTCGTTAAGTGATGTTGAAATTGAACTATTGCTTAAATTTTTTCAAACCAATTTATTTACTTTGCAAACCTCAACTCTACGTAACCTTCCGTTCTACCAGACCATCCATGGAACATACACCTGCCTTTCAGGAAATCATACAGTGTTTGAGATACCCGAAGATTTTCCTAAAGATGACCTTGATGTTTTATCGCAGGTAGGGCACATAATTACTTTACAATCTGCCCCAAAGTTAGGAGAATTGTACCGACATATTGGTGTAAAGACGGCTTCATCTGTAGAATTTTACCGTGATATCGTGTTAAAGCATTTCCATTATTTGACTGAACAAGGAAGAATTAACCATTTGAGATTTATAAAAGAACGTCTTATTTACGGCAATAGTGGGAAAATGTTATTGGCGATCTTAAAACGTTACCATTGATTCCGGATCGCAAAGGTGTTTTACATCTAGCAAATTATTTCTACGAACCAGACAACATAGTTTTCAAGAATTTTGTTCCTGAAGACAGATTCCCCCAGTCCGTTTAATTTACTAGAATGGAGAAATTTCCTTGTGGATATTGGCTTGCAGAACGTGGTTACTAAAGAACATTTTGCTAGTTACGCCAACCAGTTGCAAGAAAGAGCTCGCAATGTGTCAGATCGAACTTCGCTTGAGGGAGTGGAAATTCTTAAAAAATCAAACATTCTTGTTTCACATTTATTTCAAAATACAAGTTTGCATGAGCCACATTTTCTCTCCAACATCTCTAACATCAGTTTTGTTGCTACTGCAGTTACACCAAAGGTATATCTTGATATGTGTCCAGCACACATCCAAACCATTTTGACATGTTACAATCGTTCCGTACCTCAACACCATTCATTGTTAACTTGGTCAAGTGCATCGGTTATTGCTTCGTCGGCATTACCTCACGGTCATAGTAATGTGGCAAAGAATCTTGGTGTGTGTTCCAATCCTCCTTATGAATTTGTTGTGTCTCATCTCAAGAGTGTTTCTGGTCGCTTTTCAAGTTCAACAAATAAGGAAATACCGGAGACTTTGTTCAAGCCTCTGGAAGATGTGATGACAAAGATCTATAGCTTTTTCAAGGACTTATGTCCTGAACCTTGGAAGCACTCCACTGACGATTTCAAACGTTGCTGCAATGCTCTTCGTGATTGTTCAGTGATTTTAGTTGACAAGAACACGTTTGTGCGCGGTAACCAGCTTGCTTTCGAGCATGTTTGGCACGATCTTAAACCCTATTTGTTTAAAGTTCCACGTCACCTGCAGCACTTTGAGCATTTTTTAAAAGGTCTTGGAGCTCAAGAACATCCTTCACCTCAGCAGTATGTATCAGTTCTTCGAATGATAAAGATGAGTTGTGGGGAAAATAAAATGCATCCGAATGAGAATTCAGCTGCAATCTCTTCCACTAAAGGCTTGTTTATTCGTTTGAAGAGGCTTCAAAATAAAAGTGTTGTCAATCCTCTTGCTAATGTAGAAGATCTTTACTTGCCAACAGAAGGCAAATATCTGTTACGATCCACCACAGTTTTCGTAAATGACACCATGGAAAGAAAGGAGCGACTCGTTGATTTTTCTAGAGAACTGCTTATTGATTTGACCATGAAAGATCATGAAAGTCCTGAGAAATTGGTTCAACTCCTCCCTCGTCATTTGCAAGTTCGAAAATTAAGCTCTATTGTACAAGAAGAATTAAGTCCTGCATGTGCTGACAGAACATGCGTCCTTGATAGTTGTGAGTTTATCAATCATTACCGACAACTTCTAGTTTCACGAGAGTTTAGTGAAGCGCTTATACGGCTTTATAAATCCCAGCAAGACAAAGATAAGATACCTCCAAAAGTGGAAATGGAACTGAGAAAGTTGGAAAGCAGCGTGGAATTTGTGTGTATGCAGAATATTGCTTTACGTCTTATGAAAGTACAGACGAATGAGGTGATTACTGGAAGCGATTCAGATGTGTCCTGTTTCTGTCAACCGAACGAATGTGGATTTCGTATTCTTATCAAACATGGTGGTGACGCCAATTCAAGTGTATTGCACGAACGATTAAGCTCATTTGTATCTTCCATCACTGGTAATTATTTGGAAGAAAAAAATTGGCGTTTTCTTATGATGCTTCTTGATGCCCGCAGTGTCAGTGACCTCTCAAGAACATTGGATTATGCACGCATACCGCGTACTATCTCTGCACTTTCCAGTCTTCCACCGCTTGGAAATGTAATTCCTTTGGAACTTCACTATCTTTTGAAGAATGACGTTAGGTTTGTTTTACGTAAAGGCGAATTTGTTGGGTATGAGGTACAAGATGAGAGCGAGGTGAACGATTCTGTTTATATATTCGCAAAGATTATTGAACAGTCACAGCAAGGTAAGGAATCCTTAGATTAAATTGAAAATATAGCTCTTACACGTATAATTGCGTTTTCTTTATTACGCCAGGAAAATTGCGATAAAACTGGAAACATCTTCGTTTTCAGTCAGTATTTTGAACGTACTTTTCATCGATCATTCTATATGTAAAAATGAGGCTATTGGTATTGTTTTCTTGAACTTGTTATTCTTTAAAGTATTGGACTAAGTCTTCAATAAACATATTTGTTGTTTTATTTAGTTTTTGTAAACTGTCATATTTAGGTGATGGAAGGCTACAGTTAAATAGTAAGTATAAAATTGATATTGGAAATGACGAACCAATTGAAGTCAGCAAATTGAAGCTTTTCAAGTTTGATCGTGAACAACTGGAGAGTACAAATGACCACGAGCAGGAAAATGTTGATCGAACGACGGGAAATGTTGAAATGGAGATTATGCTTTATGAAAATTTGTGCAGAGAGTCTTTTGATAACACAGCAAATGATACTAACACAAATATTACATTGGAAGAAGCTAAAAAAGAAGTAAGATGAATAAAATTGTGATGAATAAAATCATGTGATGAATATAAATATCGAGAAAAATCATATTTCTGAAGTGATTATTTTCTTAACTAGGTTGCAGAAGCTCTTGCCGAAATATGGAAACTACCAGAATCGGAGAGGAAAACAGCCATCAAACGTCTGATCCGGCAATGGCATCCTGACAAGAATCCTGATCGCAAGGATTTGGCTACTCAGGTTACACAATTCTTACTGAATGAAGTAGAACGTTTGGAAAAGGGAGGAATTCCTGGCTATCAGGGGCCTGAGGCTGACAACTCTCATCATGGCCCACCTAACTTTCCCCCACCTCGTTCATCGGATGGATTTTGGATGAATTTATTAAACGAGAGAGCGGAAGGTCAAGGAAACGTGAGCGAGGGAGGTCAACTGGTGGCGATGAATATGAACCATCTATTCCTGCCGAGGCAAAAGTTTGGATGCAACAGTCTGAAATTGATTTAAATGCAGCTAGAGTTCTATCTATCAACGAAGAAGAGACATTTTTTGCTCTGTCCTGTTTCCATTCTCAACAAGCTGTGGAGAAAGCATTAAAAGCTCTTATGTTCTTCAAAGGTCGCCTAAAACCAAGAGATTTAGAAGTTCATGATGTAAAGAGATTGGCAGATCGTGCTGCACAGATCAATGCACAATTTAATGATTTGCCAAATTTGGTTATGGTTTTTCAGTATCCAAGTTTTTACATCAACACACGCTATCCTCAGTACAGAAGATGGGTTATTTCAACTCCTCCTACAGCCATGTTCACTGAATCTGATGCCAACGAAGCATTATCAAATGCTGAAAAAGTCTTATCTCTTGTTAAGCATGTCATAAGAAATGAATGATTTTTATTAATTTTGTATTCACTGTAGCGAATTTTCTGATGAGTTTGATTTCGAACAATTTGAACACATAGTTTTGAACATTATTTGCCTACTTAGGCATGTATTAATAATTGTCACTTTTGCTGTTTTTGTTTTTTACCTTTTAAATTTAAGTGTTCCTAGAACTGATAATTTTTATGACGCGAATAGATATTCTACAATAAGCTTTTATGTCTTAGTCTACAATGGAGATTTGTTCTGCCTGTTTTTTTAGTTACACGTTATTTTATCTACATGTTATTTTTAGAGCTGTGTTTTAAATTAAGATCCTAAATGTTGTAAGACCCTAATCTTTTCATTTTTTTTCGATTGATACTAATCTCGCCCGTGCGCATTTTTGTCATTTACAGCCCATTTGCTTTTTGCTCTCGGCACACGAGGATTTTTTGTCACTCGTGACAAAAAATATCAAACTTGTTTGATCTTTGACTCATCTGTCACGAATAACAAATGTTCTTCTAAACTTCCGCTCACAATAGGAACTTTTAAATGAAGATATGATCCCGTTGAGTCACCTGATTTTTTCAGGTCCTGAGACGATTGCTTAAGTTGTCCAGCAAAGTGCGAAGATCATATCTTCATTTAATTTCAAACACCGCACTGCATAAAACATTAATAGGAACTTTTGTCGATCACACTTGTCACGAATAACAAGTACGCGCGGCAAGTTCATCAGTGTGCGGCCGGCTTTACATTCTTGTTGTTTTACATGTCGTGTCCATGATCATGTGTTAAAATAATTAAAATGGCCGACGAATAAAGTTAGAAACATAGTCTGAAATTACCAGAAATCACTTCAGAAGTGGGACAGTTTTCTAAGGCTGGTGATTGTGTTTAGCCAACGACACTGATGGATAATAAGGCGGAGAAAGGTAATTTTAGCTAATAATTCATTTTTGTGTGAATAATTGAACTTTTCTTTGAACAAACCATAGTTTGAAAATATAATCCTCAAGTCGGCAGAGGACAGGATCTGTAGGCTGAAGTGATAAATAAATTTGTACGAAAATGACCCTCTCTATGATGCATATAAAATTAAAGTCATTTGAAAATTAATAGTTTCCTCAGGCACACATGATGTTTAAATTCTTATTCATTCATCTTATTGTTTACTCTTTAGTTTATACTGAGTACACTAACGTAAACTAAGACAGTGAGACTGACTAAAAATTACAAATCACTCACAAAGACTTAAATGTCAAGTATAATAGCATAAAGTGAATACTAGCAAAAAAAAGAGAAAACAATTTTCTCTTTAAGAATGTCTGATCCTACTTGCTTCTATCATAACATTTCAAATATGGCAAACACTTTGATTAACTTACTTTATTTCATTTTCTTATACATATGTTGTGTTTTAGATTCATCAGTGGCTAATGGCAATGAACAGTCAATCAAAGAAACTAATACTGCTGGTATGGATTAAAAATAAGTTTGCTTTTATTTGTGTGATGTAGTCATTGCTGGTTAGGCTTATGATCACACTTTATCAATGAAAACGTCAGAGAAGTTTGTGAGAAGTCTTGAGCATGTGCAAACCATCAACCTTTGCATAAGCTGGTGCTAAGACAGTGAACATCTTTGATTTCTTAAATGAACAATTGAAGTGCAGGCTTGTACACATGCCATGGAGAGTAAATACCAATGTACTTTGCTTCATCTCTGTAAAGGTTTACCTACAGTGCTTCTTCACAATATGATGCAAAAGCTTATAAGGATGCAGGTTGCAGGTAAGGAAAGATATTTCTATGGTGTAATTGTGTTCCAATGTTTCAATGCAACATGTTTTTGGTACTTTTGTATGTTGTGTTCTCTTGGGTAATTTAGCTATAACGACCTTCTTTAACAGATGTTTTGAAAAACATTTTGCTTAGGTATCCTGATGGTGGACAAATACGTAAGGTAACAAAATATCACTGAATGATGACCACTTTTAATTACTAGCTTTATGAGTGATTATTTTTTTTTATTCTCATTGTCTACTTATACTAGAACTCTAAAAATCTAAAATTCTAATTGTGATTTGAAATGTTTGAAGGACTATTCCAAGAAAGACTTTATATTCCAAGACCTGATAAATTTTCAAAGAATTGATAGATGTCCTACAATTTAACACATATTCCAAGAGCAGGTACTAATTCTAAAAATTTTTGTTGATATTCCATGTGCTTTCAAGTTCAATAATGGTGAAGAAATTTGATTTAATATTATTTGATTATAGATTGGAGCTTTTTACTATCATTTTTGCATATCTATATATGTATATTTTAGAATAATTTTGGTTTTGTTTACATAGTCACCTACTTGTCAATATAAGCAGAGGCAAAACCAGAAAGCTAATTTGGGGGTGGGGTGTGGATAATGATATTTTCAGCTCTGCCCAACTGATTTGTTTTGAAAGGAATTAAAGTTTCCGTGAAGTCAGTCAGAAATGAATATTGAATATCATCCCCTCCCCAATTAGCATGCTAGCTAGCTTTAGAGAGATTTAGAATATTCAACATTGACTGTGTTAACCTGGCATCTTTGCAAACAGGTTGCTTAACCCATATCTCAGTTATTTATTTAAAACTCTGATCGGAGATTCATTGCTCTTTAACTTTTGCAGTTACATTATCTGTAAATAATCTTTTTTTCATTTCCCGCTCTAGTTCTTTTTGCTGCTTTGGGTCAACGACTTCCTGATCCAATGGCTCAGCAAATATCCTTGGTGCTAGAGTGCTTGTCCATAACATGTAGAAAGCAGGCCCTGGTGCAGACTGAAATAGAAAAAACATAACCAATGACTAGAATGAATGTTTCCTCTTCAATTGCTTGTGTTTACGTTCAAACACTACGAACTATTAAAATAAGAATAATTTCATTACCGTGGCGGCCGCCATTATTTTGATATAAAAAGCTAACGTTTCTTTATTTCCTTGCAATATTTCTTTCCTTCCTTTGGTCGGCTGCTTGCCTTTTGTGGCTTAAAATTTCATAAAGCATCCTGTTGTTGACTATCGTCTTATTAAAAAATTCATTTATATTTCATATAAACAAAACCTTACCGCCATGTTTCCTAGTTCGTTACCAATCTCTTTATCTAGCGCAAATGGAAAGTGACTTATGAATATGAAACACTGTACAAGCACGTGCTTTGACAGAATCGACACATCCCATGGAAGGTGAGTACGTAAGTACTTTACGTCGTCTCTTTGAAGGCTTACCTGCAGCAATTGTTCTTCACAAATGAAGTGAATTGTGAGAGGATGCCGGTTACAGGTAAGGAAAGATATTTCTATGTGCAAATGTTTCAATATCAACGTGTTTTCGGTACTTTCGTTTTCTCATACTACAATATACTCCTTCGGTACCAAAGCATATGTCATTTTTTACTCCTCATTTGCAAGTATTTTGTACGTATTCTCTTGGAAAACAATCGATAAGATTAATTTTCTTAGAAAACCAATAAGGATTTGGCTGTAAAAGTTGGGTCACAAGCGTGAAATTGTGGGCCATTTTGCCATGTAATTATTTCCGTATTAAAACATGTTCAAACGCATCTATTCGCTAAATATATTAAATCAACTTTGAGGAAAAGATTTTGAAATCTTTCCCATTGAAACTACTTGTAATAGCTTTCTTAGTCCAAAGGTCAATAAATTTAAGGTCGTTGAAATCTTCAAATGAACAGTGGTGTTGATGTACTAATGTTTTTTATGCCGACAAAATGTTTGAAATACTGTAGCACAAAGCAGTTATGCGTCTGCCGATTCGTTTTTGGGACTGTATGCTATCCAATTTGTATGCGCAGTCGACACAAAATTTTCAATGTTGCTTATAACTATTCCAATATGTATGGCGTTCCGTTCCGGTCATAATTATATGAAGTTGATCAAACGAAAAACAATCGCTCATAAATATGTCGAACTTTCAAAGTTGAAGTTCAAACGTTAAAAACTAAAACAAAATGCCCAATGTCAATAGCAAACATCGATGCATACAGTCGAACCGCTCAAAAATAAATCGAAGTGCAAAAATATAAGTCGAAGGGAAACGGAAGTCACTGAGATATTAGCGGATATGGTCTATGGTCATACAAAACCATTCAAAACCTACTTAATAAGATATAACTATGACTCATATCAAAAATGGCGGACAACTTAAATGAAATAGTTAGGCGTGTTGTGTCGTCTCTTCAAAATTTACCGGACACTGCTTCCAGCAATACCCCAAGCAGAAGCGATGATAGTACTAGTAGCAGGTCCTTTGGCTCAGTTGAAGAAGAAATCGGCCAAAGATTCCAAATTCCTCGTGTGTCGTCGGGAATTGCTAATAGGATTCATAGTTCCAGAAGAAGTGAAAGAGGTCGGTTTATCCCTTACACTACAAAACAAAAAGGGAAATACTAAGCCAAACCTGCTGCAGAGTTGGTTATAAAAGACGTGTGTCTACTACCTAATCCAGATTGGGATCAAGTCCCTCGGCGACAAGTAAAGGAAGACCTCGTGAAAAGAAGTTTATTTGTTGACGCATGGAGTCTTGATAAATCGTGGTCAGAAGATCAATTACGAGCGGAATTACACAGTATTTTCAAGAAGCATATTACAGGACCAAACACGTAAGCTATTGAAGTATGTAGTATTCAATTTTGTATCTTGCAGTGGAATTGAATGGGTTAAATTACTTAAATACAATTAATTTTTTCCAAGCTTTGAGTTTGTAAAGTCTGTCGGAAATGGCATCGCCCAATTAAAACTGCCACAAGGGCAAGAAGCAAATGCCAAAATAATACGACACATTAGTGGGACTGGACCAATTTATATCCGCTCTCTAGTAAAGATCGACAGTGATGAGGTACTGCAACTCTTCATTATATGCCTTAAGATTACACACTGTCCACATTATGACTGTAGATTAATTGCTAGTTCAGTTAAGCTCTAGCGATTACAAAATCATGCATTTACTATGATGAGTTTTATTCAGGATGATGACATTGTTGAATTGAGTGATAATGTGGATAATTTTGTCAGAAGTAGTGATATAAGATTGAATGTATCACGCAATTTGGAGTCCAATCAAAGGCAAAGCAGTGAGCAATATGTTACTGTTATTCCAACTACCACTCCATCGCTCCCAATTGCTTGTGAGACAGGTGAAACTTCCGATGGCATAAGAAGTTCTTTAAATCTCTGTAGCATTGAAAAGCAGAAACTAGATGAAATGTTCCCAAATTGTCCTGCTGAAGTGTTTGCACAAGCTGTAAATTGTACAACACTTGATCTGGCTGTGGACTATGTTATAAGTCATATACCTTCCAAGTCAGGTAATTATTTCCAGGTAGTTAAGAAAGTTTACATAGTCAACAAATTTGGATAAAGTAATGTAAATTTTCACATTTTTTTCAGATGAACAACAATTTGATGGCTCTAAAATTGAGGAGGATGCATGTTTAAAAGACCTATTATACTCTCTACAACCCATCCCTGGGACTCCTACACGCTTGACAGTCAGCAGATCATCAATTTTTGCTGATAGTGTGTCATTTTTCAAACACAGACATTTTGATTTTAAGAAACCATTGAAGGTCACATTTGAAGACGAATTAGCAATTGATGGTGGTGGCCCTAAACGAGAGTTCTTCACTTTACTGTTGCGTGAACTCCTTTCTCCATCAGCTACTCCTCGTCTTTTTGAAGGAAGAGATGGAATTTTTTTACCAATGCACAATACAGATGCTCTTAGATCAAATCTGTATAAGGTGGCTGGACGGATTATTGCAGCATCAATAGTTCATGGTGGTCCTGGTTTTCCATATTTTCCAAAGGTTTTGTATGCATATTTCCTCAACCCTCAGCCTAATGACGTGGTGGATCACCTCCGTCCAGAGGATGTTGTTGATGCTGAATATGTAGATGTCTTGAAAAAGGTGATTAGAAAAGTAATCAATTTTTTTTTTGTGCTCTTACAACTATGAAAATTAACTTTGGCTTATACTTTTAAAAGCTAGATGCTTTTGATGAAGAAAACAACAAAACCTTGGCTTCTGAAATTCAACCTTTGTTAGTTGAGTCAGGTTTTCCTCATCCCGTCAATATTGATAATCGTTTTCAAGCTATTATGTCCTTGTGTCTGCATGGAGTCATCTTATCCAGGAAGGCTGAAATTGATCAATTGATGATCAGCTTATGCCCACTTCTTGACGTAATCAGAAGACATCCAGACAAGATGGAAACCTTATTTGTGGCTGGTACTTGCCCACCTTTGACACTCCATGATTTTTTATCTGTTGTTCAGTTTGATAATGTTGAGATTCGCATCAAACAGTTTTTCACTCGGTATCTTTCATCACAAAGTATGTTATATTTTTTTAGAATTTGTACATGTTGTTGTTTTGGCAACATTCTTTAAATCATGATGTTAATATACTTTAATTATTACAGGTTCTAAAATTCCTAGTGTTTTGATGTTTTCAACTGGTTGCAAATCCTTACCTCCAATGGGTTTTCATCCATCGAGTATAACTATTCTTCAAAATACATTCATTTACCCCAATGCTAACACATGTCCATTGGAATTGGAATTACCTGGTGAGGTAAAAAACTATGAAGAGTTTGAAAGAAATATGGACTCAGCCTTGAATTTCCAAGAAGAAGGTTTTGGAATTGTATAGAGGGTATATAAAACAGAACTAAGTTTTGTTAGATTTGAAACTGTTTGTATGTTGACTTTTACACTATTAGTGCTGAACTTAAAAGTTACTATATCTATTGCATTTTAAATGCTTCTTAACAAAGTCTTGTATTGGATATGATCAGCTCAGTCATTTTAGTAGTAAATATATCTAACTATGTTGCTGAATGTTGTCCAATACAACTAAAAAAGCTATCAGTCCATCTTGGTCTCCTGCCCCTTAGTCTCTGAGCAATATTATTTAGGTGTTCAACATGATTTTCTGTTAAACATACTGTTGAAGATGGCACTCTAACACGATAATTTGACTGCAATTCTGAAACTGGGCCATCTTCTTCAACTCCATACTCATTCCAATCTATTTGTAACCCATCTCAATGCTAGTCACAGCACTAAAATCACTATTTTGATTAGCAACAATTCCTTGTACCCAAAGCTGCCTTGGGCTAAGATTTCCTCGGTGCTCAAAGAATGGCAATTCCACGATTCACTTAATTTCTGCAGTGCATTGTTAATGAGTGGGATGTACACCAAATGTAATGCAATCAAATGAATTTCATTATTAGTGTCTAGAATTAGAGTTTCAAGGTATGCAAAAATATTGATAAAACGACTACACACAATTGAGTTAACTTCACGCCAAAGTCGTTCAATATGCTGGTTGTGAACAGATGTACCTGTTATGCAGCTGCCTCTATTCAGACCACGATATTGAAGCATAAATCGAGCAACTTCAATATTCTCTAACCCTAAATCAGTACGCACGTGAAGGTAAGTTGTACTGATTAACAGCATCCCTAAAGCATTCCATTACAGTAGATGCTTGGTTGTTTGTTGATGCTCTTAAGAAGACAATCATTCTAGAATACCCATCTATGCCACCATGAATTACAATACGATACGGTTGAATAAGTTTGTGATTCCCATCCAAATGCCTACAAAAAATTTTTAACCCTTTTGACATGTGCCAATAAACTAACATGATTTTCAATGACTACAAAAGAAAGATAGAGTTTTATTTTACCACCAGTTTTCCCTTAATGAATATTTCACATACCATAACGCATTTGGACAAGGAACGGAATAGCGTCTTCGTATGATGCTTCTTGATCCTCTAAGGGTTACCACAACTGGGTCAACCCGGTGCAACGATTCAAGAACTCGTCGTCGTTGGACATGCAGTCCACGTTGTCGTAACGCACCCTGTATTAATCTATAACCAATTCTAGGCGTCACATCCAAGATTTCACGGACAAGTCGATCAAGAACGCTATTTTCTATGTTAGAAAATACCTGTTGACTTGGCATTTGAAACAATCGTCTTCTGCGACGTATGGTACTTTCAGAAATGCCAAGATCTCTTGCAATCTGCGACCACGAAAATCCAACCTGAGAGTGTAGTGTCCCCAGCAATTCTTCAGAAACGTGAAGTCTGGGTCGACCAACGCAACTCCTAATCTGGTTTACACTTATTTGGTCATTAGTTTGCTGTTCCTCTGCCATTAATGAGCGAAATGATAATACCTCAGACCTTTCTTTCTGGGTACGAACGATACCAAGAAGATCTCTCATATCTGTTAGCAATTGTGCTTCATTAGGAAACGATTCTTGCAGTCTTGCCAATATTACACTTAGATTTCTTTCATATCCATCGAGACGGCGAGAAATATACTCAGCTGAATCAAAAGACACATCGTTGAATGAAGAAATCAAAGCTCTTGTAAAATTCCTCTAGCTCAATAGCGCTTATTTGGTTTCTAACAGCCATTTTGTTTACTTTTATATTAGTTGTTCGTCCACGAAGACTTCCGCTTCCTACTGCAGTACATGACTTCCGTTTCCCTTCGACTTATATTTTTGCACTTCGATTTATTTTTGAGCGGTTCGACTGTATGCATCGATGTTTGCTATTGACATTGGGCATTTTGTTTTAGTTTTTAACGTTTGAACTTCAACTTTGAAAGTTCGACATATTTATGAGCGATTGTTTTTCGTTTGATCAACTTCATATAATTATGACCGGAACGGAACGCCATAAATATGACTATTCTACATCACAAATAAACATTTCGAGTTTTTACATTCACAGACAGCGACAGAAGGACTGACTTTTCAACGTGTCACAACTAATAAAGTATTAACATAAGTTCCTATTTCCGTTCTTTCATAAGTTCCTAGTTTAAAATAACAATTATCTATTACTTATTTACACAAGTTCCGACAGATACGTTGTACTAGTGCTTTTTTCCATTTTGTAAATTTAAGTTGTTGGATTTGTTGGGTGTGGTTCATTGCATGGGATAGTCTGGATGGAGTTGTAACTGGGTCATGATATATTTTTAGGTAGATTTTTTGGTCAGGAACGACCTCCATTGACAGATATTTTAAAAAACATTTTGCTGAGGTATCCTGATGGTGGACAAATACTTAAGGTAACAAAATATCACTGAATGATGACCACTTTTAATTACTAGCTTTATGAGTGAATATTTTTTCTTATACTCATTGTCGACTTACACTAGAACTCTATAAAATCTGAAATATTGACTGTGAGTTGAAATGTTTGAAGGAATATTGCAACAATAACTTGACATTCCAAGAATTAGTAGATATTCCAAGAACTGGTTGTAATTCCAAGAGAATTTGTTCGTATTCCAAGAATCGGCGGATATCAACGTGGACATTCGAGTGTTGATGTCCTTCAAGGTCATTAATTTGTGCACGTGCTTCATCGTGCTGGGAAATCCAGATGTGCGTGCAATCATAATCAACGCATTTTTTAAGAAGTCATTATGTTCTCGAAATATTTCTATCTTTTTGCCGATTCTCTAAAGAAAACAAAACAAAAACGCTGATCTTCGTAGACAATATGCTTTGTACACGGACATTAAATGCAATTCCTCGACGCTCTTAATATTTACAAAGGCAATTAATTACCATCAATAGCTTCTTTCTAATATCCTGTGACACGGGCGTCAATTGAACGTTATTTGAGGATGACTGTATTCATGTATTATGCCATGACTGGCTAGTTTTGTTCGTGAACAATTTCACTTTCAAAAGAAATCAGCCTGCCATTGCAGAATGAATGAATATGCGTCCTTGTGTACAACGTGCGAAGTTCATTATAACACCATCGGTTATGGGTCTGTGAATGTGACATGCGCCCCCTTTGAAAGCCCTTCTAACTCTGTCTTGTTTGTTTCAGGAACTAATTCAAAATGCTGATGATGCGGGTGCAAGAGATGTGAAGATTTTATTTGATGCAAGCTCATTTGGCACGTCATCTTTGGTTTCACAAAACTTAGAATTATTTCAGGGATCTGCATTATATTTCTTCAATAATGCATTGTTTACTGAAGATGATTGGAAGGGCCTTCAGCGTCTCATGCGTAGTAACAAGAAAGATAATCCTTTGAAAGTGGGTCGGTTTGGAATTGGATTTAATTCTGTTTACCACATTACAGGTATGAGCTAACGATTTTGGCAAAATTTACACACCTGATTGTGCCAAAGGGGGGGTTGTGGGGGTTGTGAGTGGCACTTCGATACTGTTTAAAACCTGTTCTTAAACTGACAGAGGATGGAAAAATTAGTCCAGCTAAAAGTGTGGACTGTTTTTTCATTCACGAACACTACAAGCGTTGTTAATTTACATTCACTTTACTGGGGCAACTTTTCTACAGACGTTTCCATTTTAACATAAATGCAAAGTTAGTTCAGTGTTGTTATAAAGATTTTCGCAAAAATATTGCATAAATTTCGCAAATTTCAATGATCCAAATATTTCGTGAGAAAAGCTTACTTCGAGCATAATATCCCCTCCCTTCCCCGAGAAAAAAAGTCGTAACCATAATCAGAACAAATTCGTCATGTTGTTTTAACAGGGGAGGGGTGGTAGAATGGATGGCAATTCTTTCACAAAGTGCTGTATATTAAACTATTCAAATCCGTTGTTGCTACATTTAATTTTGCAGAGTTACTTATTTCATTATGGTTGTTTAGATCTTCCCAGTATTGCGAGTGGCAACAGAATTGCCTTCCTAGACCCACACGAGAAGTATTTTGTACGTGGTGAACCTGGGCAAGCATTTTCTTTGGAAGATCCATTACTTGACGAACATTTTGACCAATTTCATCCATTTCACAAAATTTTGGAGTGTGATCTAAGTCAAGGTATTCACCATTATGACGGAACGCTCTTTCGCTTTCCTTTACGAACTCAACCATCGGAGCTGTCTCAAAAGATCTATACCAAAGAAATGGTTATGTCTCTTTTTGAGTCTTTTCGAAATGAAGCTCATGCTATACTTCTCTTTCTGAAGAACATTGAATCCATAAGTCTTTATGAACGGGAAAATCATGGCGAGATCGTCCATCTTTTTACTGCTAAAATATCTGAAGAGTCAAGAAATGAAGTAAGAAAAAGTAGACTGGAATTGATTCAGGATATCTCTGTCGACTGGAATTTTGCTGCGAGAATGACTTTTCATCGCATGAAAATTGAAATACACTGTCCTGATAAAGAAATTGAAATAAAAGAATGGTTTTTGGCAAATCAAGTCGGCACCAGAAATGAGCAACTTATTGAGCTTGCAAATAATTTAAAGCTACTACCTTGGATTGGCATCGCTTTTCCTGTAGATATCAATAACAACGACTTATCTTTTCTTGGAAGAATTTTCTGTTTTCTACCTCTTCCACCCGAATCAAGAACAGGTTTGCCAGTTCAAGTAAACGGTTACTTTGGACTTACTGACAACAGAAGAGCTTTGAAATGGCCCGGACCTGATTGCCTAAACGACGAAACAGCCCAATGGAACCAGCTTCTTCTGAAAGACATTGGAAGTCATGTTTATGCTAGTCTTATTGTGAACATTGTGAGAGATTGCCATGGAAAATATTTGCCAGAATTGACCGCCAAGATTGTATATGCCTCTTTGCCCGCGCTTGATGATGTCCGACCTGAATGGAAGTGTATCATACAACCATTACTTTGTTCAGTTTTAGTCGAGAAGATATTTTTTACCATGCCAATAAATGGCTATCGTTGGGTGGATCTTGGAGAAGCTGTACTCAACCGTTTGAATGTTAGAGAAGAAATGAAAGATGCCGTTTTGTTTACATTACTCAGCGCTGGAGAACCTGTCATTACAGTACCTCAACATGTACTTCAAGCAATCGATGAATTTCATGAAAAATGTGGTTGGCAATGCCTTAAAAATGTCACCCCAGAGTATTTGTGCAACGTGCTACGTTCGTATTCTCAATTTCATGGCAATGAGATAAGTTTTGAAAAGAAATTGCTTTTATTGGAGTATGTGTTGTTAAATGTTCCTGATAACATTAAAGATCTTTGGGATGTAGCTCTTCTTCCATTGGAAAATGGAAATTTCCTGACTTTCTCGCGTACAAACGTGGACAAAATCTTCATTTCATCTCATCGCCATAGTGCCGATCTCCTACCAAATATGAAGCACCGCCTTTTATTGAGTAGTCTTCCCCGTGAAGTGAAGATAAAACTTGATGAAGTTGGTAGATCTCAATACACCCAATTACGTCATCCTACTCCCGAAGACATCAAGCATTTACTGTGGCAAAACTTTCCCCTTGATTGGGCAAACGACTCTTACAGCAAACCAGAATCTGTCTATTGGAATCCAGAGATTGAAGGGCAACCCACACGATCTTGGTTAGAACTGGTATGGAAGTGGATTAACGATAATTATCCTGATCGTCTTAACGAGTTTCAAGAAATGTACCTTATTCCTGTGACATGGACTGTTCCATGCAAAATGGCAAAGCTGTCTTACCATTCATCCATCATTCTTGATAAACATCCTTCGTGTTTCAATACACTCTCTAATAAAGTTAGCGATCTTTTAAAACGTTCAGGTTGTATTGTGGTGCAAGAATTACCATCTTTTGTGAAACATAATCAACTTCTACAATATGTATCTCTACCTACACCCAACGGGATCCTGGAAGTTATGCATCGTGTTGGAAAAAATGTAAATGATCAACTTTCTATGATGTCAAATGAAATTCAAGACGAAATCTGTTCCATATTTTCTAAGCTGGATAATATTAAAATGTATCATGTATCATTCATTCAGTCTTTACCCATATTCCAAGCACTAGATGGAAGCAACTATCTCTCCTGCATTGACTCGAACGGACAATTTTACCTGGTTGCGCCTCGCGATCTGTTGTTGCCTAAGACTTTTCATTTTATTAATCGAGAAAAAATTATATCATCTTCAAAGATAGAGAGTTATAGTCTTTTATTGAAACTTGGCGTGAAGGTGGAAAGTAATGCAAGTTTACTCATGCATAACTTGGAAACTTTTTTGGATTCTGACTCGAGTGATGATTATAAAGATGACGTGGTACTTTGGATTTTACAGAAAATTGAGATGCTGATACAGGAAACACCTGCGTTCCTAAAGTTTATTCGTAGAGTACATTCCATTCCAACGGCAAGCGGACGAAGAATGCCACCAAGCTCACTTTTTGACCATTCTGACAACATTTTAATAAGGTTGTTTTCCAACGATCAAAGCGTCTTTCCAACAGATCATTTCTCACATATAGTCAACAAACGCAAACAGGAACTTAAAATTCGACGCCGAGATGATTTAAAACCCGATGATATTTTGGATTTACTGAGAAAGCGCTCTTCGATTTCTTCGGATCAAGGTCTGGCGCTTGTTGAACTTTTCAATCAGCATTTACTTCTTTTAAAGCAATTGACCGCCGACGGTAGGCAGTTGAAAAATGTTTTAAGTGGGTTACCATGGCTACCTCGCGTACTTGATCGTACTAATACGTACCCAGACTTTATGCCCTGGTACTATGGTGATACAGTGTGTTGTCCAAACACAATGTTGCCCGATTCGTGGTCCCTTTTGGTTGGTGCAACGGTTCCTATTTTTAAGGAGCGACTCGTTTCAAGTGAAGTTAGAGGTATTGGTGATTTTCTTTTATTTCCAGTTGAGTTTTTAAGTATTCTTAAAATAGATGTTAAACAAGATAAACGGTTGTCTCTAGAACATTCAGTAGGGAATGTTTGTTTTTACATCCAGTAGTGCTTCATTGATATTTTTGAAAGTGAATTTCTTTTCAATAGAAACTAGTCAGGCACAACTGATTATATAAATATACACCTTCCCTTTCCTCCTTAATTAACGTTCTTGGGACGGCTCTGAACAAGAGGGAATGTAAACTTCATCAATAAAATGAAGGTTAATTTTTATGAGAAGTATTGTTCTAAAAACATCAGCCTACTTGACATGCGTGTTGTTGTTTTAGTTATTTAAAATCTGTGCATTACTTTATAGATCTCGTGGGTGTTCACACAAAAGTTCAACAAAGTTTATGGAATAATATTTTCCAGCAATTAAAAATTGCAGTCCATTCTTGGTTTAATGAGGAAACAACCCCAGTTGAAGTCGCCAACTTTCAAGAAATGATTAAAAGTGAGTATAAATGTTATGACTTCCTAGAAAAATTTGTATTTACTTTACACCTCGTTTGTACAAAAACCTTTTTTAGCAATGATTATTCTTTATTTATAACCTTATATATTCCATTAGATATTTACTTAGTCATCTCAAAGTTATCCACGGATATGGTGGCGAAGTTCTTGAAAAACCATTCTCTTGTACAGTGGGTGTGGCATGGAAATGGCTTTACAGCACCAGAAAATGTAGCATTTGAATCGCCCTTCCCCAAGAATATCGATCTTCATCCTTACTTGTTCTGCCTTCCTAGAGATTTATTTGTTGTGAAAGACTTCTTAGTTTCCCATGGAGCAAAGCTCAGTTTTGACGTTAAGGATTTGCTCAATTGGATGCAAAATATCAAGAAGAGACATGACAGCTCTGAAAATGTACCGCATGATGAGGTGATGCACGACTTAGATCAATGTCGTGGTGTATTGGAATGGATAGTTAGAAGCAAAGTTGAATTATCAGAGGATCTACGTAGGAAACTTCTTATTCCTGTTCAGACAAAGCCTGACAAATTAAAGCTTGAACCGTGTCATACATGCACTTACTGCGACCGTGAGTTCTTAAGACGAGGTGTCTCCGAATATCAATTTTCTATTAAATCTCACTTGATTCATAAAGCTATCCCCGAGGATTTGGCACGTCGTCTCAAAGTTCCACGTCTGTCTAATTGCCTTGCTGGAGCGAAAGCAATTGGTATAAATTTTGTGGAAGCTGGTCAGTACGAACCGCTGACTACACGTTTACGAAATATCCTACAGCAGTATAAAGAAGGTGTCGCCATTTTCAAAGAACTTATACAAAATGCAGATGATGCTCGAGCGACGAAGGTTTACTTTGTTATCGACTGGCGAAATAATTCTTGTGAGACTTTACTTTCAGATCAACTATCACCTTGCCAAGGTCCTGCTTTGTATGCTTATAATGATGCCATGTTTTCGGATGAAGATTTTGGCAACATAAATAAACTTGCTGGTGAAACAAAGAAAGAAGATTTGGAGAAAGTCGGTCGTTTTGGTTTAGGCTTTAACTCTGTTTATCATCTTACTGACGTTCCGAGTTTTGTTAGTGGCGAAAATCTTGTTATTTTTGATCCAAATATGACTCATATTTCCGACTTGATTGACAGAAATTCAAGACAAGGAGGATTGATGTTGAGTTTTGCTGACAACAGTCATGTTTTATCTGCGTTTCCTGATCAATTCTTACCTTACCATCAACTCTTTGGCTGTGACATGAGCGGTGACGATGCATTTTATTTTCCTGGAACGTTGTTCCGTTTTCCATTTCGCACCGAGTTGCAGGCCCGAACGAGTGGCATTTCAAAAGAACCTTATACCCCAGAGAACATTAAAAACCTCGTCAAATCATTGACAAAGGCCTCCTCAACGCTTTTACTCTTCTCTCAAAACGTTAAGGAAGTTCGGGTGTTTGAAATACAAAAAAATTCCAATCCAAAGTTATCTTTAACTCATCCATTAATCACAGTTACAAAGACAATTGAGAAAACGTTGTTTTCAAATTTGAAGAAAGGGGAATCAATGTTGAAAAGTTCGTCAGATTGGTTTCGTCAAAACAGATTAAAACGAAAACTTCCAAAGGAGGGTCCAAGGTGCACCATGCTCATCAATATTAATGTTTGCTTTGTAAAAGCTGATTTAAACGATGTATCAAACCCATGTCAAATGTCTGAAAAATGGCTTGTCAATTCCTGCACTGGCTGTAGATTGTCATTTCAAGTTGCACGAAGTGATGAAGGTGTTAGAAACGGTGTAGTTCCAGTCACAGGAGTTGCTACAAAAATAGATCTCTTGAATCGTAACGATGTTAAGATTCAGTCTGTACCTGGGGAAGTGTATTGCTTTATGCCATTGTCTATAGAGTCTGGTCTTCCAGTTCACGTCAACGGTTCGTTTTCTGTTTATTCCAATCGCCGACGATTGTGGGAGGAAGGTGTTGGTGAACATCAGTTGTTCAAACCTTTTGAAGCAAAATGGAACGAAGCGTTGATGGAAGATTCGTTAGTACAAGCTTATTTTGATTTACTACTGATGCTTCAGTCTTACAATGCAAAACAATATGAATTTCATTGCTTATGGCCAAATCCAACGAAAGTGCACCACCCCCGAGCCTGGAGGCCATTTCTTGATTCTTTTTTTAACAGTATAATTGACGAAGAGGTAAAGGTATTCAAATGTAGGGGAAAGTGGACAAAACTTCAAGATTGTCTCATTCTTGATCCAAAACTGAGCAAGCAGAAAGAAAGTGTCGCCATCATGAATCATTTAGGTGAAAATGTTTTATCGATTCCTCCGAATTTCATGGAAGCTTTTCAAAGTTGTGGAAAGGGAGAATTTATCAATAACCATTTGTTAACAGAAGATAAATTCTTGAAGGAATATTTTTTCCCTAACGCATCGCGTATTTCAGCAGATTTGAGAAGTTCCGTTCTCGTTCATATTCTTACACGTCGACTGAAAAAACATCGCGATTATGATGATCTTTTGAAAACTGTTCCCTGCTTCAGTTGTTCCAAGGATGGCATGATTCTTCGTACATCGAATGAGCTTGTTCATCCCAAAGGAAAAGCTGCCTGTCTGTTTTATGAACATGATAAACGATTTCCGTTGGACGATCGACTTCTGGAGAAGGAGCTAGCCATGATGTTGGAAGAACTTGGTATGATTGTCGATTTTTTGCCTTGGAGCAGTTTGTGTGAGAGAGCAAAATCAATCTCTGATCAGCGTGATATTGTTAAAATAAATCTGATGATTAAGTTTATGAATGATATGCCATCAGATGCCTTCATTTCAGAAGAAGGTGTAAAAATTCTACGCGAAACTCCTTTTCTCCCAATTCTTTCAAAGCCAAGCGATTATCCGTTCTCGTGGAAATTTGATCATTGCCGTGGAATGCAGTTTGCTGATGCTAATTCTCTTCATTTGGAAAAGTTTAAGTATCTTGTTGGCACCAAATTTCTTATTTTAGATGAGTCGTCAAAAAGTGTATGCGCGCCAAATCTGTCTTTGAAAAAGATTCTCCGAGTTTCATCGAAAAAGCCAAAAATTTCTGATGTTATTGAGCAACTTGATAGGATAATTGTGTCAACGATCCATCTCGCTGATGAACAAAAAGAAAAATTATGTTTTACAATCTATGAGTATTTTCAGAGTGTAGTCATTACTAAGAATGTAAGCCAAGATCAAATTTGGCTTCGCGAGCAATTAGAATCTAGATCTTGGCTTTTCGTTAAAGGACAACTGGTGAATGCTGCACAGGTTGCACAAGACTGGAATAAGTATGACGCTTCTCCTTATTTCTTTTCTTTACCTTCTGTATACAAAACTAAGTTCAAAATTCTTGTCAATTGGTATGGAATAAAGAAGATTTTTTCCAAGGAAGACTTTATAACGGCCATGAATCGCTTAAGAGAAAATACTGCATCTAAAAAACTTTTGGACAAAGAAATTGATACTCTCGTTGTGCTTGCTGAAGAACTATACATTTTATCAGGTGGTCGAAAAAATTATGAATTGCCACTGCCAGATGAAGATGGCAAACTACATGATGGCAGTGAACTTGTGATCAATGAGACACCATGGCTGGAGATTGATGGTAGATGTAAACGTGTCCATCCCAAGATACGTCCACAACTTGCATACTATTGTGGTGCTAAAGAACAAAGAGAGGCTGATCTGGACCACTTTTCTCAACCAATTGGTCAACCGTTTGGACAACATGAAGATTTAACGGATCGCTTAAAGAACATCTTACGTTCCTATCCTGCAGACGTTGGAATATTGAAAGAACTTCTTCAAAACGCGGACGACGCTAAAGCCAGTGAAATTCATTTTGTTTTTGATCCTCGTAATCACAAGAGTGAACGCGTGTTCTCAGACAAATGGAAAGATCTTCATGGTCCTGCAATATGTGTTTACAATGATAAGCCTTTTACCAAGGATGATATATTGGGTATTCAGAAACTTGGTATTGGAAGCAAAGTAGACGATCCTCTGAAAACAGGTCAATATGGTATTGGGTTTAATGCAGTTTATCATCTCACCGATTGTCCGTACTTTATTTCAAACGATGAAGTAATTTGTGTTTCTGACCCACACAGATGGTACGTCCCCAATGCAACGCAAGAACATCCTGGAAGACTTTTCAACAATCTCAAGAAACGTTTAGAAAAATTACGATGATGTTTTTCCTGTCTTCTGGGTGATCTTTTGATCTTAAAGGAAGTACGATGTTTCGATTACCATTACGAACTAAAGAGCAATCCAAGATCTCTACTAAACTTTGGAGCACAAGCGCCGTGACAAAGTTGTTTGAGAGTTTTCGTCTATCTGCAAAAGATATGTTGCTGTTCTTGAATAACGTTACAAAGATTTCGATATCAGAATTGAAGAATGGAAAACTCGAAACTTATACAGTGAAGTGTGAAGTATCTGATTTAAGTAAACGATCTCAGTTTCACGAGGCAATCAAGACTTGCAGTAGACTACCAACTCGTCAATTGTGTGAAATGCAAAGTTTTCATTACGTAATGAAAATATCTGATTCATTGAATGTAAAGAAGGATTGGTTAATTGCACAGAGTTTGGGCTATTTAGATTTTGATAAAACGTCAACGATTCCTGAGGGCCAAGGCAAGGGCTTGCTACCTCGTGCAGGTGTTGCTATCCACTTATCGAACTCTGACGCTCCATTTCGGCATTCTATATTTTGTACGTTACCATTGCCAGTTTCGTCAAAATTTCCTGCACATATCAATGGTCACTTTGCTCTTGACTCTGCTCGTAGAAATGTTTGGCATGACCCCAGGAGTGGCGATTTTCGGATGCTTTGGAACAATTTCATGAAACGTCATGTAATCCCTCCGTTGTATGCATTAGCAATGACACTCGCGAGGAACCATATTGAAGGCTATCATCACGAGTCCGATTGTATGGGAAATTTTTCATCACCGAAAGATGCAGAGAACGGTTTGAAATGGTATCATAAATTATTTCCACCAATTTCAGAGCTTGATGCTGAATGGAAACCAGTTGCTGAAGTGGTTTACAAATATTTGTTGCCAAATCACGCCATTTTACCAATTGCTTTGTCAGTTCCAAATTGGAGAAAGTCACCTCGTGAATGTTTGTCAGCAGGATCTTCAGAAGATGACATTGCCCCGGTGAAAGTAAATTGGCATACACCAGCAAAGGCGTATTTTTGTACTTCTGATATATCGTTCCCGCTTGCAAAATTACTTTTGCAAATCAAATTTCCTCTTCTTTCACACACTCCTTATGAAGTGCACAAAAGTTTCAAAGAAGTTGGAAAGTTGCAAGACGTAAGTCCTGAAGCTGTGATTCAATTTCTAAGGCATCAAGTTGAAATCGTCAATCAGTTACCCAAGGCTGTGGAACAGACTTTGTTTCGAGAAGAAAAAAATGTTTATGAAATTACACGCTATTGTGCTCAAGCAAGTCAAAATGGAGATGGATATTTTGAAAATCTTCACGGACTTCCTTTGCTTCTCACGAAAGATGGCTTCCTTCGTTGTTTTGATCAGAATATGCCGGTTTTTTGCAGCAAGTTCAGCGACCTCGTATCTTTTCAGTCCAATCTGTTTGTGACCAGTTTACTGCAAAGCTTTTACTCAACTTATCTAAACAAATGTCATGACGTGTTACACGAGTTTCATTTGTCAGACCTTGCTCAATATCTTGAAAGGCTTTATCCGTCTTCTTGGATCCATTCTATCGTGCATCAGCCATGGAAACCAGATGAAAGCAACAACGAACATCCTAAAAAAGAATGGCTGGTGTTGCTTTGGAAATTTATTGTTAACGAAATCAGAGATAAAAGGGTTTCGAATAAAGTAAATTGTCATATTCTTGAATGCATAAGAAATTGGCACATCATTCCAACGACAAATTGTTGTCTTGCTCCTCTTTCTCAAGGAAAAACCGTTTTGAATGTAAACAGTGAGCTCAGTCATGATTCATTCTCAGACAGCGTCATACGAAGTATTTTAGTAAAGCTGGGTTGTCCACAGCTCGATAAATCCATAATTGATTCAGTGTTTACAACGCGAGAAAAACGAATCGTTGCTGTTTGCCGACATTATCTTGCTCTAGTTCAATCGACAAAAGATGTACTTGGACTATTGTCTACATATGTTAATAAAAGCAATAAAATCCCGTTAAGGCATGATGAAATTGAACGATTGCTTGTATTTTTTCAAACCGGTTTACATACTTTGCATACCTCAACTCTACGTAACCTTCCATTCTACCAGACCATCCATGGAGCATACACCTGCCTTTCAGGAAATCATACAGTGTTTGAAATACCCGAAGATTTTCCTAAAGATGATCTTGATGTCTTATCGCAGGTAGCGCACATTATTACTTTACAATCCGCTCCAAAGTTAGGAGAATTGTACCGATATATTGGTGTAAAGACGGCTTCATCTGTAGAATTTTACCGTGATATCGTGTTAAAGCATTTCCGATATTTGACTGAACAAGGAAGAATTAACCATTTGAGATTTATAAAAGAACGTCTTATTTACGGCAATAGTGGGAAAATGTTATTGGCGTTCTTAAAAACGTTACCATTGATTCCGGACCGCAAAGGTGTTTTACATCTAGCAAATTATTTCTACGAACCAGACAACATAGTTTTCAAGAATTTTGTTCCTGAAGACAGATTTCCCCCCAGTTCGTTTCATTTACTAGAATGGAGAAATTTCCTTGTGGATATTGGCTTGCAGAACGTGGTTACTAAAGAACATTTTGCTAGTTACGCCAACCAGTTGCAAGAAAGAGCTCGCAATGTGTCAGATCGAACTTCGCTTGAGGGAGTGGAAATTCTTGGAAAGTCAAACATTCTTGTTTCACATTTATTTCAAAATAAAAGTTTGCATGAGCCACATTTTCTCTCCAACATCTCTAACATCAGTTTTGTTGCTACTGCAGTTACACCAAAGGTATATCTTGATATGTGTCCAGCACACATCCAAACCATTTTGACATGTTACAATCGTTCCGTACCTCAACACCATTCATTGTTAACTTGGTCAAGTGCATCGGTTATTGCATCGTCGGCATTACCTCATGGTCATAATAATGTGGCAAAGAATCTTGGTGTGTGTTCCAATCCTCCTTATGAATTTGTTGTGTCTCATCTCAAGAATGTTTCTGGTCGCTTTTCAAGTTCAACAAATAAGGAAATACCGGAGACTTTGTTCAACCCTCTGGAAGATGTGATGACAAATATCTATAGCTTTTTCAAGGATTTATGTCCTGAACCTTGGAAGCACTCCACTGACGATTTCAAACGTTGCTGCAATGCTCTTCGTGATTTTTCAGTGATTTTAGTAGACAAGAACACGTTTGTGCGCGGTAACCAGCTTGCTTTCGAGCATGTTTGGCACGATCTTAAACCCTATTTGTTTAAAGTTCCACGTCACCTGCAGTATTTCGAGCATTTTTTAAAAGGTCTTGGAGCTGAAGAAAGTCCTTCACCTCACCAGTATGTATCAGTTCTTCGAACGATTAAGATGAGTTGCGGGGAAAATAAAATGCACCCGAATGAGAATTCAGCTGCAATCTCTTCCACTAAAGGCTTGTTTATTCGTTTGAAGAGGCTTCAAAATAAAAGTGTTGTCAATCCTCTTGCTAATGTAGAAGATCTTTGCTTGCCAACAGAAGGCAAATATCTGTTACGATCCACCACACTTTTCGTAAATGACACCATGGAAAGAAAGGAGCGACTCCTTGATTTTTCTAGAGAACTGCTTATTGATTTGACCATGAAAGATCATGAAAGTCCTGTGAAATTGGTTCAACTCCTTCCTCGTCATTTGCAAGTTAAGAAATTAAGTTACGTTGTAAAAGAAGAATTAAGTCCTGCATGTGCAGACAGAACCTGCGTCCTTGATAGTTGTGACTTTATGAATCATTACCGACAACTTCTAGTTTCACGAGAGTTTAGTGAAGAGCTCATACGGCTTTATAAATACCAGCAAGAGAAAGATAAGATACCTCCAAAAGTGGAAATGGAACTGAGAAAGTTGGAAAGCAGCGTGGAAGTTGTGTGTATGCAGAATATTGCTTTACGTCTTATGAAGGTACAGACGAATGAGGTGATTACTGGAAGCGATTCAGATGTGTCCTGTTTCTGTCAACCGAACGAATGTGGATTTCGTATTCTTATCAAACATGGTGGTGACGCCAATTCAAGTGTATTGCACGAACGATTAAGCTCATTTGTATCTTCCATCACTGGTAATTATTTGGAAGAAAAAAATTGGCGTTTTCTTATGATGCTTCTTGATGCCCGCAGTGTCAGTGACCTCTCAAGAACATTGGACGATGCACGCATACCGCGTACTATCTCTGCACTTTCTAGTCTTCCACCGCTTGGAAATGTAATTCCTGTGGAACTTCACTATCTTTTGAAGAATGATGTGAGGTTTGTTTTGCGTGAAGGCGAATTTGTTGGTTATGAGGTACAAGATGAGAGCGAGTTGAACGATTCTGTTTATATATTCGCAAAGATTATTGAACAGTCACAGCAAGGTAAGGAATCCAAAATCCTTTTTATAAAGTAGTTGACTTGGGCTTTTTTGTATCCTATAATCCAAATATTTGAGGCAGACTTGAGCTAGATTAAATTGAAAATATAGCTCTTAAACGTATAATTGCGTTTTCTTTATTACGCCAGGAAAATTGCGATAAAACTGGAAACATCTTCGTTTTCAGTCAGTATTTTGAACGTACTTTTCATCAATCGTTCTATATGTGAAAATGAGGCTATTGGTATTGTTTTTCTTGAACTTGTTATTCTTCTAAAGTATTGGACTAAGTCTTCAATAAACATATTTGTTGTTTTTATTTAGTTTTTGTAAACTGTCATATTTAGGTGATGGAAGGCTACAGTTAAATAGTAAGTATAAAATTGATATTGGAAATGACGAACCAATTGAAGTCAGCAAATTGAAGCTTTTCAAGTTTGATCGTGAACAACTGGAGAGTACAAATGACCATGAGCAGGAAAATGTTGATCGACCCACTAGAAATGTTGAAATGGAGATTATGCTTTATGAAAATTTGTCAGGAGAATCTTTTGATAACACAGCAAATGAAACTAAATCAAATATTACATTGGAAGAAGCTAAAAAAGAAGTAAGATGAATAAAATTGTAATGAATGGAAAATCATACATCTCCCCTTTTGGAGATGACGTACACTCTTTCTTGGCATTATAATTACCGGTAGATTTTAAAATCACATTTCTGAAGTGATTATTTTCTTAACTAGGTTGCAGAAGCTCTTGCCGAAATATGGAAACTACCAGAATCGGAGAGGAGAACAGCCATCAAACGTCTGATCCGGCAATGGCATCCTGACAAGAATCCTGATCGCAAAGATTTGGCTACTCAGGTTACACAATTCTTACTGAATGAAGTAGAACGTTTGGAAAAGGGAGGAATTCCTGGCTATCAGGGGCCTGAGGCTGAAAACTCTCATCATGGCCCACAATACCCTCCCCCACCTCGTCCATCGGATGGATATTGGGATGGGTTCTTTGAACGAGAGAGCGAAAGGTCAAGGAAACGTGAGAGATGGAGGTCAACTGGTGATGATGAATATGAACCATCTAATCTTGCCGAGGCAAAAGTTTGGATGCAACAGTCTGAAATTGATTTAAATGCAGCTAGAGTTCTATCTACCAACGAAGAAGAGACATTTTTTGCTCTGTCCTGTTTCCATTCTCAACAAGCTGTGGAGAAAGCATTAAAAGCTCTTATGTTCTTCAAAGGTCGCCTAAAACGAAGTGATTTAGAAGTTCACGATGTTATGGGAATGGCTTATCGTGCTGCACAGATCAACGCACAATTTAATGAGATGCCCTTTTTGGTTATGGTTTTTCAGAATCGAAGGTTTTACATCAACACACGCTATCCTCAGTACAGAAGATGGGTTATTTCAACTCTTCCTACAGCCATGTTCACTGAATCAGATGCCAACGAAGCATTATCAAATGCTGAAGAAGTCTTATCTCTTGTTAAGCACGTCATAAGAAATGAATGATTTTTATTAATTTTGTATTCACTATAACGAATTTTCTGATGAGTTTGATTTCGAACAATTTGAACACATAGTTTTGAACATTATTTGCCTACTTAGGCATGTATTATTAATTGTCACTTTTGCTGTTTTTGTTTTTTACCTTTTAAATTTAAGTGTTCCTAGAACTGATAATTTTTATGACGCGAATAGATATTCTACAGGATCTGTAGCCTGAAGTGACAAACAAATTTGTACGAAAATGACTCTCTCTACGATGCCTATAAAATTAAAGTCATTTGAAAGTTAATAGTTTCCTCAGGCACACATGATGTTTAAATTCTTATTCATTCATCTTATTGTTCACTCTTTAGTTTTTACTGAGTACACTAACGTAAACTAAGACAGTGAGACTGACTAAAAATTACAAATCACTCACAAAGACTCAAATGTCAAGTATAAAAGCATAAAGTGAATACTAGCAAGAAAAAGAGAAAACAGTTTTCTCTAAGAATTTCTGATCCTACTTGTTTCTATCATAACATTTCAAATATGGCAAACACTTTGATTAACTTACTTTATTTCATTTTCTTATACATATGTTGTGTTTTAGATTCATCAGTGGCTAATGGCAATGAACAGTCAACCAAAGAAACTAATACTGCTGGTATGGATTAAAAATAAGTTTGCTTTTATTTGTGTGATGTAGTCATTGTTTGTCAGGCTTATAATCACACTTTATCAATGAAAACGTCAGAGAAGTTTGTGAGAAGTCTTGAGCATGTGCAAACCCTCAACCTATGCATAAGCTGGTGCTAAGACAGTGAACATCTTTGATTTCTTAAATCAACAATTGAAGCGCATGCTTGTACACATTCCATGGAGAGTAAATACCAATGTACTTTGCTTCATCTCTGTAAAGGTTTACCTACAGTGCTTCTTCACAATATGACACAAAAGCTTATAAGGATGCAGGTTACAGGTAAGGAAAGATATTTCTATGCTGTAATTGTGTTCTAATGTTTCAATGCAACATGTTTTTGGTAGTTTCGTATGTTGTGTTCTTTTGTGTAATTTAGCTATAACGACCTCCTTTAACAGATATTTTAAAAAACATTTTGCTGAGGTATCCTGATGGTGGACAAATACTTAAGGTAACAAAATATCACTGAATGATGACCACTTTTAATTACTAGCTTTATGAGTGATTATTTTTTTATTCTCATTGTCTACTTATACTAGAATTCTAAAAGATCTAAAATATTAATTGTGATTTGAAATGTTTGAAGGACTATTCCAAGAAAGACTTTATATTCCAAGACCTGATAAATTATAAAAGAATTGATAGATGTCCTACAATTAACACATATTCCAAGAACAGGTACTAATTCTAAAAATTTTTGTTGATATTCCATGTGCTTTCAAGTTCAATAATGGTGAAGAAATTTGATATAATATTATTTGCTTTTAGATTGGAGCTTTTTATTATCATTTTTGCATATCTATATATGTATATTTTAGAATAATTTTGGTTTTGTTTACATAGTCACCTACTTGTCAATATAAGCAGAGGCAAAACCAGAAAGCTAATTTGGGGGGGGTGGATAATGATATTTTCAGCTCTGCCCAACTGATTTGTTTTGAAAGGAATTAAAATTTCCGTGAAGTCTGTCAGAAATGAGTATATGAATATCATCCCCTCCCCAATTAGCATGCTAGCTTTAGAGAGATTTAGAATATTCAACTTTGACTGTGTTAACCTGGCATCTTTGCAAACAGGTTGTTTAACCCATATCTCAGTTATTTATTTAAAACTCTGATTGGAGATTCATTGCTCTTTAACTTTTGCAGTTACATTATCTGTAAATAATCTTTTTTTCATTTCCCGCTCTAGTTCTTTTTGCTGCTTTGGGTCAACGACTTCCTGATCCAATGGCTCAGCAAATATCCATGGTGCTAAATTGTTTGTCTATAACATGTAGAAAGCAGGCCCTGGTGCAGACTGAAATAGAAAAAACATAACCAATGACTAGAATGAATGTTTCCTCTTCAATTGCTTGTATTTACGTTCAAACACTACGAACTATTAAAATAAGAATAATTTCATTACCGTGGCGGCCGCCATTATTTTGATGTAAAAAGCTAACGTTTCTTTATTTCCTTGCAATATTTCTTTCCTTCCTTTGGTCGGCTGCTTGCCTTTCGTGGCCTAAAATTTCATGAGGCATCCTGTTGTAGACTATCGTTTTATTAAAAAACTTATTTATATTTCATGTAAACAAAACCTTACCGCCATGTTTCCTAGTTCGTTACCAATCTCTTTCTCTAGCGCGAATGGAAAATGACTAATGAATATGAAACACTGTACAAGCACATTCTGCGACAGAATCGACACATCCCATGGAAGGTGAGTACGGAAGTACTTTACGTCGTCTCTTTGAAGGCTTACCTGCAGTAATTGTTCTTCACAAATGAAGTGAATTGTGAGAGGATGCCGGTTACAGGTAAGGAAAGATATTTCTATGTGCAAATGTTTCAATACAACGTGTTTTCGATACTTTCGTTTTCTCATACTACAATATACTACTTCGGTACCAAAACATATCTCATATTTTACCCCTCATTTGCAAGTATGAGGGGTATTCTCTTGGAAAACTATCGATAAGATTAATTTTCCAAGAAATTCAATAAGGATTTGGCTGTAAAAGTTGGGTCACAAGCGTGAAATTGTGGGCCATTTTGCCATGTAATTATTTCCGTATTAAAACATGTTCAAACGCATCTATTCGCCAAATATATCAAATCAACTTTGAGGAAAAGATTTTGAAATCTTTGCCATTGAAACTACTTGTAATATCCTTCTTAGTCCAAAGGTCAATAAATTTAAAGACGTTGAAATCTTCAAATGAACAGTGATGTTGATGTACTAATGTTTTTTATGCAGACAAAATATTTGACATACTGTAGCACAAAGCAGTTATGCGTCTGCCGATTCGTTTTTGGGACTGTATGCTATCCAATTTGTATGCGCAGTCGACACACAATTTTCAATGTTGCTTATAACTATTCCAATATGACTATTCTACATAACAAAGAAAAATTTCACGCTTTTACATTCACAGACAGCGACAGAAGGATTGACTTTTCAACGTGTCACAGCTATATAAACATAAGTTCTATTTCCGTTCTTTCATTAGTTTCTAGTATCAAATAACATAATTTTGTAAAAGCACTATTGCTAATGCGCATTTAATATACACGACGACTTTTTAAAATAGACATGTTTCGACATCTCATGATGCCATCTTCAGTATGAGTGAGATAATAAGTGATAAAAGGTTTATATAAAAGTAATATGATACATAAATTACAACAATAAAAAGGAAATAAGATAAATTAATGGAGAGCGTCCGAGCGTATTATAAACTAAATATTGTATTAAATTTAAAAACTTGAACATTGAGGTCAGGGTTAGTTTTGTTAATGTGGAGTGCTTTTTGATTTTAAGGGAGAATGAGGTGTAGGCAGTGTCTATGATTTTGAAGCAAGAGGGTAAATAGTTGGTTTTACATGACCTAATATTCACTCACAACCCCAGGTTCAGTATAAACAGGACAGACCTCACACAACTGTTTTTAACAGCAACAGCACAGACGCATTTTTTATTTAATGGAAAATTTTATGACCAGACGGACGGTGTTGCGATGGGCTCTCCCTTAGCTCCCATACTTGCTAACATTTTCATGGGCTCACATAAACGAAACTGGCTAAACAACTACAACGACACTAAACCACTATTTTACCGCAGATACGTTGACGATATTTTTTGTGTTTTTACTAACGAAACTGAGGCCATGAAGTTTTATAATTACATTAACACACAGCACGCAAACATTAGATTTTCATTTGAAACTGAACAACAAGATCAACTGCCATTTCTTGACATTTTACTAACAAAATCTCACGACAGCTGTACAACATCTACATACCACAAACCAACATACACAGGACTTCTGACGAACTATTTTAGTTTCACACCACTTTCATACAAAACCGGACTTATACGCACACTAATCGACAGAGCATACAAACTTAACAATACGAAAAATGGCTTTCAACGAGACATAAAAAACATCACACCACTCTTTTACGAAACCCTTTCCCACTTCACTTTATTAACAGAACCGTAAAACGATATCTTGACAACAAACAAAGCAACAACCTCAAACTAGACACCGAAACTCCTGACACGACGATCACAACCAATACAAATGAAAATTCTAAAATAACAACTCTATACTTCAAACTACCATACATCGGACATTACTCACGACACACACAACGCAGACTTAAAAACATTATGAAACGCATCTGTACAGGTATTGACATTCGACTAATTTTCGCATCATTCAAAATCAAAAACCTTTTCTCATTCAAAGACCCAATCCCTGATTCAATTAAATCTATGGTGGTATATGAATTCAATTGCGCGGGATGTAATTCCCGATACATTGGCGAAACTTCGCGCCATTTATCCTCCAGAATCAGGGAACATACCACAACAGACAAAAACTCTCATATCTACGGACACCTTCTTAAATCTCACTCATGTAAAACCAACTATTCACCCTCTTGCTTCAAAATCATCGACACTGCCGACACCTCACTCTCCCTTAAAATCAAAGAAGCACTCCACATTAACAAAACTAACCCTGACCTTAATGTTCAAGTTTTTAAATTTAATACAATATTTAGTTTATAATGAGCTCGGACGCTCTCCATTAATTTATCTTATTTCCTTTTATTGTTGTAATTTCTGTATCATATTACTTTTATATAAACCTTGTATCACTTATTATCTCACTCATACTGAAGATGGCATCATGAGATGTCGAAACATGTCTATTCTAAAAAAAGTTGTCGTGTATATTAAATGCGTATCAAATAACAATTATCTATTACTTATTTACATATTTACAGATACGTTGTACTAGTGCTTTTTTGCATTTTGTAAATTTAAGTTGTTGGATTTGTTGGGTGTGGTTCATTGCATGGGATGGTCTGGATGGAGTTGTAATTGAGTCATGATATATTTTTAGGTAGATTTTTTGGTCAGGAACGACCTCCATTGACAGATATTTTAAAAAACATTTTGCTGAGGTATCCTGATGGTGGACAAATACTTAAGGTAACAAAATATCACTGAATGATGACCACTTTTAATTACTAGCTTTATGAGTGATTATTTTTTCTTATACTCATTGTCGACTTACACTAGAACTTTATAAAATCTGAAATATTGACTGTGAGTTGAAATGTTTGAAGGA